ATGGGCACCAACTACAAAAATTAAACTTAAAGATATAATTGTCAAGGATTCAAGTTGGGAGGTGGGAGGGAATTTGGAGTGAGCAGTGGAGGGATGAGGACATGGGTGGTGGCATTGGAAGTAGAAATGAATATGTAAACAACTATGTAAACACCATTGTAAACAACTATTATAAACAACTGTGTAAACCAATCACATTGTAAACAACTATGTAAATCAGTGTCTAAACCAAAGAAAAATTTTTAAAAGAAATTTGAACAGGGGGTACAGGTCAAGGGGATCCAGGTACATTGGTGGTGTTAAGGAATAATAAAGGTAAATACTCGAACTACAGAATCAACAACACCTTGTGTTCTCTCTTCTAATGAAGTCTGATATTTCTTGGAGTTCCTGCATTTTTCTAAATTTCATTTGTCTCTTTCATTTTGTTGCTGGTGGAGTTTCCCTGGGTGGCTTATGCAAAATGGGGAGAGAGGCAGTGGCCTTGGAAAGGAAATCTACAGCTTTTTCTCTCTCCACTTCTGTTACCAGTGTTAACACTGGGGTGATATAGGACTGAGGATTTTCTACAAAGAGCCCCCACGTGACACAAACTCCACCATCATATCCTCCCAGTCCCTTGTGTTCTGCTTGGCGTAGGAGATGATGACTATCACCTGATTTCCCAGGGACCTATAAACTCAGACTGAAGCAGGAAAGGAAAGTCGGTTGGGTCATCGTCTTGCCCTCATAGAAAAGAATTCCAGAAGACGAACAGTAATGTCTAATAAGGTTACTGGAAAATAAAGGGAGGTAAGTTAGGATACATGATTAAGAGATATGGGTGAGTGGTATAGCCTTATATCCAAAGCACAGACTCAACAAAACTGAAAACATGAGAACAAGCTGCAACCAATGAAACCTTGTAACATGCTGTCAAGTTGACAGGCAGGGAGATGGAGTGGGGGCTGCGAGGGGGAGGGGATACCAGCACACTGATGGAGAGAAGTTGACAATGATGGAGGGGTTCGTGTTGAAATACTATACGCCTAAAACTCAACTATCAATAATTTTGTAAAATCAAGCTCTTTTGTTAAAAAATATTTAATTAATTAAAATAAAAGAGAGAACGTGGACCTCTCCAGGGTGGAGATAGCTGAGGGTACACATCTCAAGAAGAGAGATGCAGGTGGCATGCACCCAGCAGCAAGAGTGTGAGCAGCATGGGCTGGCAACATGTGCACACATCCTTTGTCCAAAACAGTACTTTTGTTTTTATTTTGGGGCCACACCAGATTAAGGGGTTACTCCTGGCTCTGCACTCAAGAAACGCTCGGGTCACTCACCATATGGGATATTGGGTAGCGGGTGTGGGGGACATTGAATCCAGTGCCCTCCCCATAGTACTACTCTCTGGATTCCCAAATTAGTTTTAATACACTTTTCTTATACTGTCCTGTCCATTGCTAAGGTGGTTGCCAGAGGGATTTTTAGAACAGTTGATGGTCATTTAATATTCTTCACCTGGCATTTGTTCCAGAGGTGGAGTCTCTTCTCCCTGGGGGCAGTGGATGTCCAACAACCTCTCTTCTCCAGAAGTCTCCTAAGCTTTGCCTGGAATTACGCATCTTAGTGTCTTTCTATCTCATTCATGTCAAAGGCGTCCATACGTTTCAGATCTTGTTTTCCCCAAAGTATATTAACAGAGCCAACCTCCCCACTCCCCCTCCCCCAAATACCTACTTGCAACAATTTGATTCTATTTTACATTTTTATCCTTTGTTACAATGATTCTTTGCTCTTAAAGTTTAAACTAATTAACTATGCTTTCCATGATCCCTCTTCAGTTTTTTCATTGTATTTCTCCTGTTCAGCATTTTTGTTCGGTTTGGTTTACAGTTTCAGTTGCTTTGAAGAGGAACTCATATTGTTTATGAAGACATTTTCTGATACACTGTCCTGCATTTTTGTGGTTGAGATTCTCAAACTTCACTGAATTCATGACACCTATTCTAAATTCTTCTATTGTTCCTCCAAATATGTGTCATTAGTTTGGTGTCAATATATTCATGCTTTCCTTTTTTTGTAAATGAGCTTTTTATTCAATATTTTAAAATACAGATTTTTGTGATAATTTATAAATAAATTTGGTATAATAAACTAATACTTTGAACCAGAAAAATATAGGCAAAAATTAATTTTCTCAAACGTTGCCAACTGCAAAGGAGTTACCATTAGCTTACAGGTGGTTCATACAGATGCCTAAATTTGTTCTTTATATAAAAATAGTTTATTGTTACAATTCTGTATATAACCATTTGGTTTAACCTAAGTTCTTGTTGCTGAAATATATTATTTTAGAGACTCCAATTGAAAAATCTTCTACCTACCTTAGACTACAGTCCTTGATGGGCAGAGTCAGAAAACTGACCACCCCCAAACCCCACACCACACAGGTAACTCAATTACAGGCTTCCTCAGGAAACCAGCTCCAACCAGTAAACTTGATCTAGTAGAGAATGGAACTGTGAGGCAATGACTGACAATAGAGATAATGTCTATCAAAAGTTAACAGCTTCAGGTATCGTTGTTTTATATTTCTGTACTTTGGGCACATCCAAAACTTCTTCATAGTCTACACTCATTCTCTTTGCCCAGCGACCATCTGTAAATTCTTACTTTCAAGACAATCTTTCTTAAAACATTCCACAGAGCCACAAAATTTGCAGCCATCACCATCAAAATAAAGTCTTCTGGGATCATCGATTATCGGGACAAGACATAGACAGGTGCCCCATTTCCCCACCAAAAAAAAAAAAAACATTTTGCAAAAGGAAATTCACCTAGAGTTAAGTCCACTTTTGCTTTGCACTTGGTTATTTCATACTCTGTGGACCCACACTGTTAACATATTCCCGTGCCCATATCTTGATTCTCAAGGGCAGCTGGGCAATCTGCAACCCCATGGCCAGGTTTTCTACAATGGAAGCATACCATTGCATTTTTCTTTGCTGCTTGCCTTTTTAATTGTCTTCCTTCTTCATGATTATGTTTTTTAAAGCAACTGCTATTTCTTCCCTTACTACCTGTTTGTTGCTATTATCTCCATGTTGTGAGATATCTGTGTTTTCTCTTAGTTTTGTCCATGAATCCATTCATAACTTCATTTAAATACTCCTTTTACTTGTTATGTTTGTGTTTTGCTTGGGGTGCATTCTTTTAAAGGGACACTTCATGTTAATGCTTTGGTAGGTTTTGACATTTCCCCTCAAAGGCTCTTTTCTTCAAATCTTCCCACTATGTGGCAGAGAAAGTGCTCTTGTTTTGGGTCATAGTAACTCGTGCCCACCTGGTCATGGTTTCGCCGTAACTATTTATTAATCAGGAAGAATCCTCCAGAGCAGCAGAGTTAGCAAGAGAAGCCCAGAGCCCATGCAACCCCACGCTTTTCTTTCAGTGTTTCCATTCTGTGTTTTCTGGGATCATTTTTTAGACATTCCGTTTTCTTTTTTCTCTCAGTAGTTGGCACTGTGGCCTTAGTTTTGGGTCATCTTATTTATCAAGACATTGGGAAGGAGCGAAGGGATTTGAGAGTTCAGATACCACAAATAGAGTGTTGGGGACAAGAAAGACAATTTATGCTGAGAAGCCTATGCTAACATTTCCATCTTTAGGACCAGACCAGAAAACAATTCATGTTCAGAGTTGCTTTCTGGGTCTTTGCACAATGTTGTGGGTTTCTATCAGTTATACGGGGGAAAGGGTGTTCAACATAGTTGCTGAATCTCTTACTTCCTGAAGGCTGGGGCCAAGAAACTCTGATGTAAAGGATAACAAAGATCTCTCCAGGGCTCTGGATATAGTTTCAAGTCTTATTTAGAAAGCAGCATAGTAATTCACTGTAACTGTGAAGATCATACATGCCAGTCTGGGTAATTAAAAACATATGCACTCCCTCAGCTTGTTCCACTGTTGGAAATGACCACTGGCCAAGACTACAATTCTCTTTCATTATCTGTTCCATCACCTTTGTGAACAAATAATCATGTACCACAGGAAAAACACGTAGCTTGCTTTAGTAGAGAAGGCAATGAGCTGTTTGTAGTTTGGTTGGGTAACAGTTTTCTGGTTGTGCTAGGGGAGAGCTGTTATGAAGTCAGCTATTGCTCTATGTTGTGATGTCACTCTTATTCTCTGTTATTACTGTTGAAATACACTCCATTTTTTGACTTACTTATATTTTTGATTGTAAAATAGGTGTTTTGTAGACAAGATAAAATATATGACTTCATCCATCATGTCAATGTCTGAATTTTCAATAGGATGATCTAATACATTTATGTTTAAAGTAATTACTTATAAGAAATGACTTCTGCCATTGTGCTAATTATTTTCCATATATCACATATCTATGATCTTCATCAAGTTTTGCATTACTGTATTTTTGTGGAATTTTCCTCTAATTCCATAAAGGGAAACTATTATCCCATGTTTTCCCTAATTCTTGGATATTGTTAAAATCACGTTCACTGCTTTCTTTTTTTTATTATTTGTACCCTAACCTTATATAATGTAGTCACATAATATAAATGATACATTTCTAGATTTTTTTCAAGAACTTTTCCAAGTACCGCAGATACACTTTAATTCTAACAGTTTGGAAATGATCAAGTTAATGATCATTTCTTTCTCTACAAGCTTTCTTTCAGAGTTATCACAGCCAGTCAAATAATAAATTCAATCAACCGAATTAGATATGTTTCCAGAATCTAACTCAATTATTTCTATTCCAATTGTATCACTAATATAATTATTGGTTATTTCACCATAAAGGTATCCATGTCTGATGATTTCAGTAACGCATTCAATAAACTATCTTATCCATAATTTACCTTACATGCCTAAGAACTATTTCAAAATACTACTCCATTTTAAATGTGAGAGTATTTTGCCTCATCTTGCCTGAGTGGAATTTCTCCCTTTTTTGCTTGAACTATTGTGAAGCAACAAAATATTCTTACCTTCTGGTTTGGCTGTTGTGGGAGCGTAAAAATAGACTTCCAGTAGGACCAGGTAAAGAACACAAAGATCACATGGTAGAATATGAGGTAGATAACTGAAATTTAAGAAAAATATTAATGTTTAAATTATCTTTTGAAAATTATATTTGGTCAATTTCTAAGAGTTCACAAAAAACATTATATTTAACAATAGCATTATATTTTGTTTTTCAACTATCAAGTATTTTCTAATATTCTTAATAAAGGTTTGGGGTTGGAGCAATAGCATAGTAGGTAGGGCATTTGCCTTGCACGTGGCTGACCCAGGTTTGATTCACAGCATATGGTCCCCTGAGCACTGCCAGGGGTAATTCCTCAGTGCAGAGCCAGGAGTAACCCCTGTGTATTGCCAGGTGTGACCCAAAAATAAAATAAAATAAAATAAAATAAAATAAAATAAATAGAGGTTCATTCTTACCATTTCTAATGAAGCAAAATTAAAAATTTTAATGACATGGGTTTTCTTTTTCGATTTCTGGTATAAAGAAATACAAAATAAATTCAACAGAGATTGTAGTGAATCAGTATGTTGCTTTAGCAAACTCATTTTGCATTTTTAAAATTTATTTTTAATTTTATTTTTAAATTTATTTTTAATTGAATCACTGAGGTACAAAATTTCACAGTTGTTCATGATTGAGTTTCAGTCATACAATGTTCCAATTCCTGTCCCTTCACCAGTGTACATTCCCACCACCAATGTCCCCAGTTTACTCGGCGAATCCCACAGTCACCTGCCCTGCCTCTCCCCAACCTCTTTATAGTCACCTGCTTCTATAGCAGGCACTTTTCTTCTTTCTTCTCTTCTTGTTCTCCTCCTCCTCCTCCCCCTCCTCTTCTTCTTCTTCTTTCTCCTCCTCCTCCTTTCTTCTTCTTCTTCTTCTTCCTTCCCTTCTTCTTCTTCTTCTTCTTCTTCTTCCTTCCCTTCTTCTTCTTCTTCTTCTTCTTCCTTCCCTTCTTCTTCTTCTTCTTCTTCTTCTTCCTTCCCTTCTTCTTCTTCTTCTTCTTCTTCTTCTTCTTCTTCTTCTTCTTCTTCTTCTTCTTCTTTGTTCTTCTTTTTCTTCTTCTTTGTTCTTCTTTTTCTCCCTTTCTTCTCTTCTTCTTCTTCCTCTTCCTCTTCTTCTTCCTCCTCCTCCTTTCTTCTTCTTTCTCCTCCTCCACCTCCTCCTGCTCCTCCCCCTCCTCCTCCTCCTCCTCCTCTTCTTCTTCTTCTTCTTCTTCTTCTTCTTCTTCTTCTTCTCCTCCTCCTCCTTCTTCTTCTTCTTCTTCTTCTTCTTCTTCTTCTTCTTCTTCTTCTTCTTCTTCTTCTTCTTCTTCTTCTTCTTCTTCTTCTGCCTCTGTTTCTCCTTCTCCTTCTTTCCTCCTCCTCCCCGCCCTCCTCCTCCTTCCCCCTCCCCTCCTCCTCCTTCTCTCTCTCTCGACAGGTTTTGAATCAGAGACTTCTATTAAAAGTTGAATTTTCTCAAAGTTACCACAAGAAACTGGGGGTAAAAGTGAAATTTTCTTTATGACAATGAAAGAAGCTGCTATGGCCAGTTGTCATTACCTCTGCCACTATGAGTACTGCTATGGCTAAGTAATTCCAAAGCAGTAGAGTTAGTTTATAGCAAATATTCATATATATCTTTTATTTTTTATCTTTTATTTCCTTTTATATCCCTTTGCTGTGCTGGCTTAGGGTTACATGCATACTTGATTGTAGTTGTTCATCTGATAAAAGTGAACAACATGGATTGAAAACCTTGTTCTTGCATACGAGTTGGCCCAGAGTTTCACTCCTTTGTTACGGAGCTCACAAACATTCTGGTTGTAGTGATCACTAGCTGTCAGAAACCGGCCATAGTGGTCACACAACTTTAGTTGTGATGATTGCTGGTGGAAGTTGCACACTTCATTTGTGGTGCTCACACACACATATCTGTTTATAGTACTCTGGAAATTACACATTCTGATGTGGCACTGGGCGTCCCGAACAGAAGGACTTCAGAGACAATACTTGTCACATGAAGGTTGCACCAGGGATCTATTTATGGTCTTCTGTTTTTTCGCTGGTACTTTTTTTTAACCATCCTGAGACCTTTCAATAACTTTGGGAGATAGAGAACAATACAGGGATAGTTGATCTGCTATCAAAAATAACTATTGATTGTCCATTCACAAGAAAAGCACAAAGAAACCAGGTTTTAAATATAGGAGTTCTAACTTTAAAATCCAAACTCTTCTCTATAGCCTATATTGCTTGCCCCCTAGTAACACTGTATCATTGAGAGGGTAATAAATGTGACTTGTTACTGATTCCCTATTTATATATTTGACCACAACCCGTCTCCCCAAAAGATCTCTTCTAATAAGAAAAAATTTAGTGTTGTCTATAAAGATCACTGCTTCACTGTGAGTTTTTATATAGTGGGCTGTTATTAATTCACTTCATCAGAAGACCCAAGGGAAAGAGGTGACTCAAGTTCACATTCACATAACCAAGGCTTTCATAAATTTATGTCTTAGCTGAAAAAAGCCCAATCTCCTGACACAGTTTTCCCATTTTTATGATATAAAAACCTTTTTGTGTGCTTCATTTGTGTATTATGGAATCACATTTTTAAATTCAAGAAATAAAAATTAATAAGTAAATTGTTCACTTCTTACATATATCTGGTCTCCACCTTCCAAGCCTAAGACAAAACACCAACTTGGTCTGTGTCATTGTGGAGTTTTTACAGTAAAACATTCATATTAATTTATATTAGTCACTTTATAACTTGATCACTTGACATCACGTTACTCAAAGATTTGCTCGAGTGGGTGCCAGTAATGTAATTCGTTCCTGTCGCGTACCAGTGTAGCCAAATGGCATCTGCTCATTCTAGGAACACGAACAGCCTCAAACTGATCATTCAGGGTCTTGAAGAATAGTCTGACCATCTCGTAGGTGGGCGGCCATGCGATCTTTTGACGTCCCGTGGAATCCAGTCTGTAATGGCTCTAGTTCAGTGGTCGTCTTGAAATCTCATTACGTGTCCAACCAATGTGATTTTTGATGCCGTAGCAAACAACACAGTGTCTCTGATTCATGATTGTTGGCAGAGGTTGGAACTCTGGATTTTTTCTCTCATTTGAGTGAAGCGTGATATTCCAAAAATAGCTCTTTCAATTCCTCTTTGGGAGACCCGAATAGCGTTCTCATCACATTTTCGTAGGGCCCAGGTCTCTGAGGTGTATGTTAATGCAGGAAGAACAGTGGAATCGGAGAGATATGCCCAGAGCTGGAGGTTCTTCGTCCTCTTTGCTATTTCTTCAATGCTCTTGAAGGCGTTCCAAGCTGCTCTCTTCCTCCTGTGCAGCTCGGGTGCCAGGTCATTTGTCATGTTGACTTCTCGACCTAGGTACACATAAATGTTGCAATCAGAGATGGTCGTTCTTTTGAGAGCGAATGGAATGTCAGGAACAAGACCATTTCTCATGAACATTGTCTTTGTGAGATTTAGCTGTAGTCAGACCTTTCCACACTCACAGTCAAAGTCAGCCAGCATTCGTGCTGCTTGACTGATGTTTGGTGTTATTAGAACGATGTCATCAGCAAAGCGGAGGTGATGTAGCTACCGACCATTCCTTCACTCGATTCCTTCCAATTCCAGTCATCACATGACGTTCTCGAGGGTGGCACTGAAGAGTTTCAGAGAAATGGTATCACCCTGAGAACCCCTCTTTTTTTTCCTTCTTAAATTTTTATGAGTGAAACACCATGAGCTACAGTTGTAGACTTACAAATGTTTGTGCTTGGGTTTCAGTTATACAAAGATCGAATACCCATCCCTCCACCAGTGCCCATTCTCCACCACCACCAGTCCCAGTATCCCTCCCTCTCCCCATCCCCCCATCCCACCCTACCTCTGTGGCAGGGCATTCCCTTTTGTTATCTTTCTCATTTTGAGTGCTGTGGTTTGCAAAAGACACATTGAGTGGCAATCTTGTTCTATCTATAGTCTACTCTCATCATGCATTTCTCATCCTTAGAGGAGCGTCCCAACACCCTTTATTTGTTGCTCCCTTCTCTATCTGAGCTGCCTTTTCCCCTAGCATGTGGGGCTGTCCTCAAAGCCATAGAGTAATCCTCCTGGTACATATCTCGGCTATTCTAGGGTGTTAGTCTCTTATTTTGTTACTTTATGTTCCCCAGATGAATACAATCTTTCTATGTCTGTCCCTTTCTTTCTGACTCATTTCGCTTAGCATGATACTTTCCATGTAGTACCACTTGTATATGAATTTCATGACTTCATCTTTTCTAACAGCTGCATAGTACTCCATCGTGTAGATGTACCAAAAATTCTTTAACCAGTCATCTGTTCTCAGGCATTCAGGTTTTTTCCAGATTCTAGCTATTGTAAAGAGTGCTGCAATGAACAAACAAGTGCAGATGTCACTTCGACTATACTTTTTTGCCTCTGTGGGATATATTCCCAGGAGTGGTATTGCTGGGTCAAATGGGAGCTCAATTTCTAATATTTTGAGGATCGTCCATACTGTTTTCCAAAAGGGCTGAACCAGTCGGCATTCCCACCAACAGTGAAGGAGAGTCACTTTCTCGCCACATCCATGCCAACACCAGTTACTTTTGTTCTTTTGGATGTGGGCCAGTCTCTGTGGTGTGAAATGATATCTCATTGTTGTTTTGATATGCATCTCCCGGATGATTAATGATGTAGAGCATTTTCTCATATGCCTTTTAGCCATTCGGATTTCTTCTTTGAGAAAGTTTCTGTTCATTTTGTCGCCCCATTTTTTGATGGGTTGGTTGTTTTCTTCTTGTGGAGTTCAACCAGTATTTTGTATATCCTTGATATAAACCCCTTGTCAGATGTGTATCTGGAGAATATCCTTTCCCATTCTCTATACTGTCTTTGTATTTTGGTCACTGTTTCTTTGGAGGTGCAGAAGCTTCTTAGTTCAAGATAGTCCCATTTGTCTATCTCTGTTTTCACTTGCTTTGCCAGTGGCGTGACATCTTTGAAGATACCATTAGCTTCAATGTCATGGAGGGTTTTGCCAACTTTGT